CGATAATAAGATATATTAGTCGACTTCGTTATAGGCTTATTTATATTTAATAACTATAACGCTATTTAAATAGCGATTAATCGATTTATTAAGAAACGTTATTATATAGCTTATCTCGATATCGATAAAGATATTACTACTAAGAAGATAGTTAACTTATTACTTAAGAAAGTATTTCGTCTATATAACTTATCGACTTTAATAATATCGAATTAAAGCCCTTAATTTATAGCTATTATATAAAAATCTTTTTATAAAAGATTAAATATTATAGCTAAGCTATTAATAGTCTTTTATTCTAAAATCGATAAATAAATTAAACGAGCGAATTAGAATATAAAGCGTTATCTTTAAATATACTATAATTATATATAAAACGATTAAGTAAGATAATTATTTATTATCGAGTTCGTCGATAATAATACTATCTTATTAATTATTAATATCTTATCTTTCCTCGCGAATAAGAGATTTTATTCTTAAATAACTTTTAACTTGAATATTATCGACTATAAGACTATATATAAGCGTTTTAATACTACTTAAGCGAAGAATATTACGAATTATATAAAATAAGTTCTTAAGTATATTCGAAGTAATATAGATCGCGTTTAGAAGGCTATAGTTATATAAGCTAATAAGTATTAATAAAAGATTACTTTTTAAATAGACGATAAGGTCTTTCTAAATAATAAGAATATTATCTTTAATCGCTCTTTTCGTAAACTAAATTATAAGAGACTCGATCTATTTAAGATTATAGGTCTTATAAGAATTTTATATTATCTAAAACTTTTATTAAGTATAAGAATTTATAATATCTTTTATCTTAATCTCTTAAATCTCGCGATAAATAACCTCTTATTAGAATAGATAAATTCTTTATCGAAGTATATTACTATTAATAATCGAATCGAATAAGTTATTAAAGAAATACTTAACTTTAAATTAATTTATAGTCGTCTTAAGTATAAGATTAAGTGAAAAGATCTCGATAATAATCTTATTTAATATAATGCGAATAGCGGTAAATTCGAAAATTGCTAGAATCTAGTAGACGACTTTTATAAGCGATATTTTAAAGAGCCTTATCTATAAAGAATTAATTAATAGAATTTCGAAACTATCTTAGATACCTCGTTTTTAATCGAATTAAAATCGTTCGATATCTTCGCAATAGCCTTATTTTTTCAAAGACGAGAATCGATTTCTTAGATTTATATTAATCGAAAATTATATTATATATAATCTTTTATATAGAGTTCCCCTTATTAATAAATATCTAAATATCTTTCGAAGCTATAATACGTTATCTATAGACCTTATTATCATTATCGATAGCCTCTATCGATATCGATTATATAATACCCTACAGAGAAACTTACTTAATATTAAATTAGAGTTTTTAGCGCCTACGGCTCGATTCGATTCGAGAGCCCTCGACTAATTACGTCGTATTATTTTATTAATATTTTATTTACTTAGATATAAATTCGAAAATTATTATTATTTACCTCTACGTTTATAAACTTTATTTTCATTATATTATATCGATTTCCTCTCGGCTAGATTCTCTATATACGTTTAAATTACGGCTAACAACGTCGCTATAGTATAACTAAGAAGAGCTACTATCGTTATTAATACCGCCTTTAAAGAAAGATATTATACTAGAAGATTTTAGATATAGTTATTTCTTTACTACTTTTATCATTTTTTAGACGTTAAGCGTATATATATATTCATTTTTCTATCTTTTAACTTATTAATTATAGAATATAATTTAATAAAGAAGAAGGATAGTATTACGAGCGTACTCTTAATATACCCCTTAGCCCTATAACTAGCGAGCCTTAACGAAGATATCCTCTATTATATTATATCTTCTTTTCATCTATATAATTCGATATCTTAGTTATCTTATTTAATATATCTATATTAATATTATATCTATATCGATTCTAATAATAATAGTCTTAATATTCTCTACTATATTATTAAATAGTAAGAATTATCGATAATTAAATATCTAAGTAAAGAAGTTATTAACTTAATTTATCTTATTTAATTATATATTCGAAATTTATAATAATTTTAAAATAAAAAGAAGAGAGTTACGTTATTTCTCTCGAGTCTTTAATATTATAGATATTAAGTAAAGAAGAGAATAGAAAAATTTCTTATAATATCTTTTATGAGACTTTACTGTAAATTCGAAAAATGGTATTATATAAAATTTTTTTAGTGTTTTATAAGAACCTTTTTTCTTAATTTATAGATCGTTTAGATTATTATAAAAATCATAGATAGTCTAAATATCGTTTTTTTAAATGCTTTTACTTCGCTTAGAGGATTCGTTATGTGATTATTAAATTAAGTAATAATTTCTTTAAATTTACTAGTTATATAAATAAACTAGTCTAGTAATTACTTTATTTCTTTAATTAATTATAAAATTATTACGCTATCTTAATAAATACTCTTTATAACGTATTATCTATATAATAGATTTATCTAGAGATATAATAACTTAACTTAATATCTTATTAAAGCCTCTATTAATAGATTTCTTAAATTTATCTATTAATTTAAATATAGTAAGTAAAGTAATCTAGTTATAATATTAGAATCGATATAGATATAATATTAATATAGATATATTAAATAAGATAATTAGATATCGAATAGCTATATAGATAGAAGGTATTAGATAATAGTAGATGGCTCTGCCAAGACACGCTAGGCCCTAATAGGCTATAGGGCTGAATGATATATTAAGGGAGATGTAGGGTACGGTCGTAACAGCGATAAGCCGTCAAAACCAATAATGGGACTTAAGGTACTTCTTTTAGCCTTAATAGGGGTAGTAAGCCCCGAAACCCGGCTAGGGCTAGGTGCGATTCCGAAAAACTTCAGACGCATTGTCTAGGTAACCCTTTAGGTGGGGCGTTATCCGAAGTCTGAGCGCAAGAGTCTTGGCGGGTGCAGGACTTTCGGTGCAGACCTCTGTACGCGCAAGAGGTATTTCGCATTACATAGACATAGAATCACATTCAAGTATAGTGCGCTGTCCACTGCTTCTAGTAGTGCTTTATCCAGTGATCCCAGTAATCTTAGTAGTGCTCTGTCCAGTGCTCTCAGTAGTGCTCCCCGTAGTGCTTTCAGCAGTGCTCTGTCCAGTGGTCCCAGTAGTGCTCTCAGTACTGCTCTCAGTAGTGCGCTGTCCACTGCTTCCAGTAGTGCTCTGTCCAGTGGTCCCAGTAGTGCTCTCAGTACTGCTCTCAGTAGTGCGCTGTCCACTGCTTCCAGTAGTGCTCTGTCCAGTGGTCCCAGTAGTAGTGCTCTATCCAGTGCTCCCAGTAGTGCTCCCCGTAGTGCTCTCAGTAGTGCTCTGTCCAGTGGTCTTAGTAGTACTCTAGTGCTCCCAGTAGTGCTCTGTCCAGTGCTCTCAGCACTGCTCTCAGTAGTGCGCTGTCCACTTCTTTCGGTAGTGCTCTGTCTAGTGGTCCTAGTAGTAGTACTCTATCCAGTGCTCTCAGTAGTGCTCCCCGTAGTGCTCTTAGCAGTGCTCTGTCCAGTGGTTCCAGTAGTACTGCTCTGTCTAGTACTCTCAGTACTGCTCCTCGTAGTGCGCTGTCCAGTACTTCTAGTAGTGCTCTATCTAGTGCTTCCAGTAGTGCTCTGTCCACTTACTCCCAGTAGTGCGCTATTCAGTACTTCCAGTACTACTCTCCGTAGTGCTCTGTTTATTGCTCTTAGTATTGGAAGTAGTACTGAGAGCACTGGATAGCGCACTGTACTACTGAGAGTTCTGGATAGAGCACTACTGGGAGTACTGGATAGAGCACTACTGAGAGTACTGGACAGAGCACTACTGGGAGCAGTACTGAGAGTAGTACTGGGAGCACTGGATAGAGTACTACTACTGGGACCACTGGATAGAGCACTGGACAGAGCACTGGACAGAGCACTACTACTGAGAGCACTGGATAGAGCACTACTGGGAGCACTGGACAGAGCACTACTACTGGGACCACTGGACAGAGCACCATTGGGAGACAAACACACACAGCAGATAAGCACACTGAGAGCACTGGACAGAGCACTACTACTGAGAGCACTGGATAGAGCACTACTGGGAGCACTGGACAGAGCACTACTACTGGGACCACTGGACAGAGCACTGCTGAGAGCACTGGACAGAGCACTACTACTGAGAGTACTGGACAGAGCACTACTGGGAGCACTGGACAGAGCACTACTACTGAGAGCAGTACTGAGAGTAATACTGGAAGCACTGGACAGAGTACTACTGGGAGCATTACGGGGAGTACTACTGGGACCACTGGATAGAGTACTACTACTGAGAGCACTAGACAGAGCACTACTACTGGGAGTAGTACTGAGAGTAGTACTGGAAGCACTGAATGGAGTATTACTAGCAATACTGAGAAAGCATTACGATGGCATAGCGACAGCGACAGCGTGGCTGTGAAGGCCTAAAAAAGCTACATCAAGTTCTTCGGCAATTGGACTATACACGGCTTCATATTTAAACGAATCTACAGCTAACCTACAGCTATCTACCACGAATTTGGCTTCTGCGTGCATTTGGCGGTGATCACGGCGAAAATTTGGTGGGGTGGCTGCCAAACGGGCGCTCCGCAAATGGTTTTGCAGAGAGGAGTAAGTATTCTAAGTCAACATCCTCATACGAGACGAGACCCGGAGTAGACGCCATAGAAGAGACATTTACCCCTTTGATCTCTTTATGTCCTCATTAGGAGAGGTAGGTAGGTAGCCCTTAAAGATTTGTTCATTTATTATCTATCACCACTGCTGTGTCGAAATGCGCCTGCGGTCGCAACTTGACAACTGTGACGCTGTGCGACATACCTTTCCATCGCAATTTACGTACGTCCAAAACCATCATTCTTAATTAGCATCATCCGGCAGGACACCTTTCCACCTAAAGGCATGAATATCATTCACATACTCACTCATCGTTCAGCCCAAATCCCATTCCACCCAATCTGGCTGAATTGGATGGGAATATCCCTCCACTCATCCCTACCACCAGCTAAATGCTCATACATACCCACATCTATCGGCTCCGTCAACGGCGGGAGGGCACGGTGTTGATCTTGATGTTGACCGTGATCGCTACTACCACCAGCGGGAAGAGGATTGAAGGTCATCGTGTTGTTCGATGCGGATGATGATGCCCATGCGTTGTCGTTATTGTACGGCGGGTAAGAAGAGGGGAGGAGGGAAGGGGGTGAGACCAGCGTAGTGGACGATGAGGAAGAGAGAGGAGAGAACTGCGAGGATAATGCAGGGTTGCTTGACGATGGGTGATAGGATAGGCAGTGTGGCTGGCCTTGGTGTGGTGTCTGATGTGCGGGATTGACGGTGGTGCTGTGTTGGGTGGAGAAAGCGGTGAATGGCAAAGGTGGTGCCGCGTGGCTTGACAATGGGTAGTAGGATGGATTTAGTGGTTGGCTTTGTTGTTGTGGTGTTTGATGTGTGGGAGGTATGGTGGTTCCGCGTCGTGTGGATGATTGTACCTAAGGCAAGAGAGGTGTCAGTGTGAGTTGACTTGATTATATATCAGGTCGGATTGGTTGGAGAGAGAGGAAAGGGTGGAGGAGATGTATGATGGACGGACGTACACATACCAAGACGCATGGGATTCCTCTTTCAACGCAACCGCTGCATCTTCCCTCTGGCTGGTGGTCAAGGTCACAGCGCCTCTTCAATTTCCGGCAATTTTCGCACTGTTTTGTTTGTGCTTAGCATGATGAAGGCCAGTTCAGGGAGAAACCCACCGAGGTGCGGGTCCGGGGCATGATTTGGAAGGGAGAAGAGGAGGGAGTTTAGGCTTGAATGTGTGCTAAGAGTGGCAAGGACCATTAAAGGATATTGGATACTGCTAGAGTAAGAAAAGTATCGGACGAAAAGGAAGCCGTTGTAACGCTGGCTGTTTTACAAGGTGTGGAGAATGGATTTTGGATGAATAAGGACGGAAAGGAGAAGGAGAAAGGAAGTTGAATATATGGGAAGAAGGAAAAAGGAGGAAGGGAAAGCATTTGAAATGGGGTAATCAGTTCAGAGACATTTTTTTTTTTCCATTGTCCATGTCTCGGACTGACACGCATCAGGAAAGCGACGATGACTCCGTAATTTCAAGTAATCTTATGTTCTGCTTTCTGCTTTCTGCTTTCTGGACAGTGAACAGGGAGAGAAGTGTGCATGAGTAAAGCAAGCGCGATGAAAGTATAGTACTACTACTGTTAACATCAATTACTCTACCAAAAGTGCAAAAGTCCTGAGTAGCAGTAATACTCCTCTTTGCAAAACCATTTGCGGGAGCGCCCGTTTGGCAGCCACCCGTGCCACCCCTGCCACCCCACCAAATTTTCGCCGTGACCACCGCCAAATGTACGCAAGAGGTATTTCGCATTACATAGACATAGAACCACATTCAAGTAGCCGTTGCAGTAGTCACTGTAGCTATTACAAGTAGATTACAAGTAGTTACTATCTAAAAATCGGGCAGAACCTCTGTACAGAGTGGTGAAAAAAAAATGGAGCTCTATGACTGCCGAGGGTGATTTGCAGCAGTCCTTGGACACTGCCGAGATTATTCCGGTTCCCCCACTAAAGATTCCTACTATTTGATAGAGAAGTCTACTTCTTTTCTATAATACCACTAGAATTCAGTGCTTAATCCATCACGTTCCTTACACTGTTCTTCATGCTTCTGCATGTGACAGTCTTTACCCAATTCGCCGTGGATGTGGAAGGAAAGAATGGGTAGAAAAAGGAGGTAAGCTACCGGAATAATCTCGGCATGTCCAAGGACTTCTGCAAACCACCCTCGTGGAGTGCACATGGCGTATCAGACGGCTGAACTGTGCCAGAAACACGTCGTCAAACGACTTATTGACAGATCTTTGTGCGCGAGACTGATCCATCAGGATGTGGTGTAGTGGTGAGGTATGCCCCATGATGTAGCTTCACCACCTCTTACCAGCCGTACTTGGGGGATCAAGCGTGTTGTCTACTCTAGATAATAATGTATCTCATCTTGAGTATGATATGCATAAAGGAAGACTGCGATTGGATTTGGATGATGCAGATATCGGCAGAATGTTTTTTTCATTTACTTATTCATTTTTAGTCATTAATAGCTGCTGAATCTGAAGACTTAATCTTAATTGTAAGGTACTCGTACATGATCTGTGCTGTACCAACCTTAACCCTAACCCTAGAGATTAGAGATCCTCGATCTTGATGTCTGTCGAAATCAAGGAAGGATTTGTTTGTCATCTTCATCATCTTCATCATCTTTACCCTGTGTACTCGTACTGTGCCGAAAGACATGTCAACAACATCTTCCAGCTCAGCCATGCCTTTCAACCAGGCACTGGCACAGGCACAGGCACTGGCACTGGCACTGGCACTGGCACTGGCACTGGCACTGGCACTGGCACTGGCACTGGCACTGGCACTGGCACTGGCACTGGCACTGGCACTGGCAAGAGTAAGATGCTCACAATGTCTAAGTCTTGGGCCAGTCAAAGCAAAACAAGCAAAGAATGCGTCTGCTCACTGCTATCTTGATGCTACTGCTGCCCTTGTCATCTTCCCCTTTGGCTCACCACCCATTCAACATACCTTAGAGAGAGTAACAGCACTTGCCAGGTTCGGCGCTATCATTACAGCATTGCAGGGTGAAGAGACTGCCGTCGTACAGTGGTGCTGATGCGTTGTGGGTGAGTCTTTCCCCTCTCCTTTACTACTATCAACCTTTCACCTCCTTCCCTATTTCACCACCTTACGCTCAACTACCTCTATCAATCATCAATACTAACAAGCTATGCTCCAGTAGGCATTGAGTACCTCTACCGAACCTCTTTCATTCAATCCTCCGAAGCTTTATTTCGATCAATAGTCCTGTTGCCGGCTTCGACTGCGGTCCCACAGCTACATCACTTCAGCACGATGGCGCAGTCACTCAAAGAACTCGCGCCGGCGTGTACCCGTCTAGGTTCCACGGCCTGTCACCGGCTTCGACGATCGGTCCCACAGCTGCATTACCTCAGTACATATCAGCGTGTACCCCTCTCGGCTCCACGGTGCATAGCAGTACTAGACCCCGTCAGCATCGTCTTGTAGCTGCCCGTAGGCCAGCTACCATGACTACCCGAGGGCTCGTCATGGGACTCGCATCGAGTCACTGCATTTTTGCTGCCCGCAGGCCAGCTGTCATAGCTTCTAGCTATGGGACTCTCATCGAGTCACTTGTTGCTGGCCTTCGGAGGCCTGCTTCCAAGTATACTCTACGTTCGGCCAGTCACGTCCTCCAGATCCATCACCTCGATACCCTCAGCGGCCACCCAGACCTCCATACCAGCAGCAATCGAGGCCTCCATATCGTCCGCCTTCTAGACCCTCAAATCCACCTCCAACAGGACCTTCGCAGCAGCCTCGTCCATCGCAAGTATACTGGACAGAGCAAGAGGAGAATGGGAGTACGATGCACCAACCCACAGCTACCATGTTGCCCCTACATACCACACTCCAGGGCATACACCTGGTCGCCATGGCAACACCCATGACGATCAGATAGGCGATGAGGCTATGGTCCATTGGGCCTTTGCAGGCGACGATCAGGTGAAGCTCGGCTCCCTCAATGTTTTTCAACCGCCATCGAGACCCGAGCCGCGTTACAGCTTCCGAGCAAGACTAGAACAGCGCCACCGGTTAGTAGCGAAGATGGAAAGACTTCATCAGATCAAAAGGTGATTGAGGAAGATGTTTCGACAGATAGGATCCTCCTGACCTTATTGGATGTGATCAGTCTTTAGCCCAATGTGAGCGACCGGCAAGGCAAATCTACTCGCAAATTGCATCTCCTCTCAATCATGTTGAAAGTGTAGCTGGACCTCTACATTTGCTGGGAACAGACTCTAGATGTGCCTTTGGGACCAGGCTACGGCGTGGTCGAATGTCTTGACCCAGCAGCTACGTGTACTCGGCGCCCAAACCAAATCCCGCCGTGGAGAAACCCAAGAGCCTGTCCTCCACAAAAGCAAGCTCGTGAGCCTTGATCTTCTCTGTTCTTACCTGGCTGTCAGGTCTCCTTAAAGACTCTCACAACTAACTCCACAATTATAGTGTTTTGTTCTAACACCCTCATCCTCACCGTGTTCGTCTATTTTCGTGCAATCGACTTCTTCCGCAAGGCAAGAGCGGAGTTGCGACGGTGTTCCCTTGGGGCTTGGTGGCTAAAGGAGTTGCGAACGGAGTTGCGAACGGAGTTGCGAACGGAGTTGCGAACGGACTGGCGGAATTCCGCAATTGCGTCAATTATCTCAAACGCATCTGAAGACACGGAATCAGCATAAGAAGATCCAAGAACAATCCCAACTTATGTCGTCCAATCCAGAAGTCCCAGCAAGCGGTAGAAGCATCATCGCACCAGCAGAACAACCGGCATCCCGCCAGCGCATCCATTAACACACCACAACATGCCATATACTTCAGACGTACCAGACGATGTACCAGATGACACACCAGTCGGTACTCCAGTCGCGCACCACTTTCCCGAACACACATACCGTGACAGATGTACGTCTCTCAATTCGGACGACTCAGACAGTGCGCCACCAGGTCATTTGAAACTCACTCCACACGCCAACCGTTACTGGTGCTGACGAGTCACAGAATCGATGCTCAAGAAACTCATATTCAAGAAACGCAACAATGAGCCGAGCCAATCTCCCACCGAGATAGACCCATCCGCAGGACCAATTCCACCAGGCCCCCCGCGTGTGAATCCTTTCCCGGGCCTTCCCGTACCACCCCAACCAGAAACAGGCCGACGACTCCCGGCATCCCGTCAGCGAACAGCGGGAGCTTGCCGCCGCGTAATATCTTGTTGTATTGCCATCGTCTTCCTTGCCATGGTTCTTATCCTGATGATCACTTTCGTCTTGCCCAGGATACTAGTACCGACCGATCCAAGTCTTCCCTTGCTGCTGCCACCAGGCAAACAAGAGTTGAGGATCCCAAGACACTTGGCGGGAGGGATTGGGGCTCTCGAGACAGTAGAGGCTCTTTTGCTCTCTCTGCAAGAACCTCTACACATTCCGGAACTGAACTCGGTCGCACGGGATTTGGACAAGTCGGAATCAGAGACAACCATTGTTATCGAGCAGACTGTCGAAGTCGCGCTTGTCGAGTGTTTTGCTGCTGCCCAAAGGGCGGAGGAGGCCTGGATCGTTGGTCCCACCGTCTACCAAAGCCTCGATCTTGTGTTTCGTGGACCAGAGGGCTTGGCAAAGCAAACTCTGCGACGACTGAAAGGTCCAGGGAAAATCAAGCTAGAGCGGATATCCAAAATCATCTCGGACGAGGATACCACCATGTCAGAAGAGGTCAAGGCAATCGAGAAAGGCCTCGAGAATTGGAAGTGGTTCTGCAAGGATGAAAGCCCCCGGCTTGCGAGCTTGTATCAGCGACACGAGGGTTTGAGGCAAGCGCTGCAAGGGCTTCAAAGGGTGCAAAGCCATGTGGAGCATGGGGCGGTCAGAGAACTGGAGCACTATTTGAAAAGGGTCCAAGCGACGAGAGACGCAGTGGGCGGAAACGCGACGATTAAAGGGGGTCAGATGAGAATGTTGTGCGGGAAGGTTGAGAGAGCTGTGAATGGGTATTGAACAAGGTCGAGCAAAAGGGTTCGTGAGCCATGGCCACTGGAATCGGATGGAACTCAGGCGCTCATTTCCAGTGATGCAGTGTATCTTAGACAGGCACATGCCCACTCGCATGCTGTTTTCTTATGTCTCCTATGTCTTCAACAAATAGTCAATCCAGTCATTCTTCGGATTACCAATCTTCCGCTCCGCATACCTGGACTCTACCTGAAATCGCACCCTAAGTTCCCAACACAACATAGCTCGTAGCGCTTTAAGCGACGCCCAAAAAGGCATCCTCCTTCATCCACAAATATCCGACATACCCCACAACAGATGTAATAGAGAGCAGGAAAGCTCTTCTCCAGTCCACTCTAGACCACAGAATGCTGAACACCAAGTGCAAAGCCGTGACCACAACAGCTGCGATCGTGAAAAGCAACCCGAGCCCCGCGGATACCCAGGCCCCGACTATCGCGTACGCCAGCGCTGCGCCCCATTTCATCTCTATGCGTGAGTGCAGCGGCGTCAAAGCATCCATCGTCTCGAGCAGAAGGGTATCTGCGGCATCGACGATCCCCGAGCCCCATACGATTGCCGTATCGATGCATGGCTTCTGAGCAAGCAACCAGGAATAGACGGTGGCGACGAAGAATCCCAGAAATTGCAAGCTATGGCCCGCGATGGTGGGAATTTGGGAGAAGAGCTGAAGAAGGGACATGGTCTCGTATCAGTGGCGGCCGTTTCTATGACCGAATCTCTCGGGTCGGCTGAGTTTCTCACCTGGAACATGACTGCCTTTATCCAGTCATGACTGACGTACGCAAGCTTGAGGGGCCGTCAGTTAGTCGTGGTCCCTTACGGTGGCAATGGCGGAAGAGAAAAGTAAGGGTTTTGGCTTACCCAGCTCATATTTGCAAGTGTAGGCGCGAGATACGCATCCTTGATAGGTCTGGGAGCCATATTGAAGAGGTAGGCCCTATGTTCTGCGGCAGGAGAGCCATCGGGCGCCTTCCAGATGAAGGCGGCGATGCAGACAACAACGGCGATGAAGTATTTGTTGCTGTAATTTCCTATGACGGACATCTTTGGATTCAAGGGCGAGGGAATATGGAAGGAAGAATGGAAGCTGGCTTGATTTGATTTTGCTGAAAAGGCTTCTATGAAAGTAAAGTAGGAAAGAGGAAAGGTCAAGGAGGGTGGAATCTCTCAGCGTAGCACAGCAGTGGTGATGATAGAAAGCGTGTAGATTCAGTGGTGGGGCCATCAGCTATTATGTAGCTGATGGAGAACAAAGCACTGCTATCTATGGCTAGCTACATGAAAGGAACAATGATGGAATATGCATGGAAGGATGTAGAAGGGACGCATGCATAGAACATAGAAGGAACTAGACACGCTGTCTCAGCGTAGTACAGCAGTGATGATGATAGAAAGCGTGTAAAGGAAATGGATGACTGGGTCATGAATTCATGTGTGGTGTAAAAGATGTTTATTATTCTATGTGCCTGCAAGGCAGATATGTGTGGTGCCAAGTCACACTAGTGTTATCTTATCAGGTGGCCTTGGCATACCGTGACAACATGCCCGCAAAGAATGAAAAAAAGACACGTCCTCGTGGCAAAAAGTATCGAAATACCGGAAAGAAATGGAGACACCATGCTAATTAGTGGTGTGTATCCCACGAGTTCTCCTGCCGCAGTGGAACCTTTCGAATAATGAAATGACTGGCGGAGTAAGACATCGGACGGTTTCAATTCGTCCAAATATGCATCGTCCGATAGGTGACCCTTGCCTGTAGAGGTCCATCATAGTAATGTGGCTGTGATCGTCGCAGAGATCCTTCTCTTGTTCGCTCATTGCAGTGATGTGCCACACTAATGTGATATTGCCTAGGAATATAGAGATAGCAGGCCAAATTGTAGTGTCGTTCTCCGCTTTCTGAGTGGCGATCTGACGTAGGATCTTGGAGAGCTGAGCCGTGTTCTTGATGACGGTGGCCTTGTTGCCGCTTGGTTTCTCCGCAGTGTTCTCCGCAATTGCCTGTAGTGGTTCCTCCTCTTGCTCAACTGAGTGTTCTGGCTGAGTGGCTGACTGAGTGGCTGGCTGAGTAGCTGACTGAATGGATTGATGTGAGACCGTGGAGAGCAGGCCTGTTGTGTCACTGCTGCTGATGACTGTCTCCGCAATCTTCTCCGTAGTCTTCTCCACATTTGCCTGTTGCAGTGGCTTATGCTTCTGTTCCTGCTCTTGCTGTGGCTGCAGTGGGTCGAAATGCTTGTCGATTGCCTGGCGAAGCACTACTTGAAGCGCTGGTAGAAGGATATTCGTGAAGGCGTGGCTTTGCTCTGCCGTGAAGCCGGGAATTATTTGGCTGTTGGAAGACATGATGTGATGTCAAATGGCCTATTGAAAGGATTGACTTGATTGGCTGGTTTTTGCGTAGCGGAAGCGCAAGGGGGCTGACTGTCGGTATATTGAGACTACTGGTCGAGTGACGATATAGACGACTTGGAGGGACCTGGGTTAGGTGTTGCTACCAATTGTCAAGGAAATGGATGACTGGGTTGCCAAGTCACACTAGTGTTATCTTATCAGGTGGCCTTGGCATACCGTGACAAAGCGAGTACTCGTGGATTCCAGAAGTGAGTCCTCTCGCTTAGTAGCGGCGGGAGAACCCACCAATCAAACTATCTGATTCCCCGCAAAATCGTACTAAAATAATGAAGAAGAAAGCTACTTTCTCTTATTAAATATTCGAATATCGAGATAATAGTAATAGAAATAGTTATATTTATATATAAGTAACTATATTAGCTTTATTACTATCTAATTAATTAGTTAAAGACTCTAAATTATTAGAATTAATATAAATACGATATTAATATAAATAAGATAAAATTAAAATAATAAGACTATCGAATTATATAAATAAAAAGAAGATATAATATAATAGAGAATATCTTCGTTAAGACTCGCTAGTTATAGAGCTAAGAGATATATTAAAAATACGCTCGTAATATTACTCTCTCTTCTTTATAAAATTATATCTTATAATTAGTAATTAAAAAGATAGAAAGATAAATATATATATACGCTTAATATCTAAAAAATAATAAAAGTAGTAAAGAAATAATCGTATCTGGGAATTCTAATATTATATTTTTCTTTATAAGAGATATTAAGAATAATAGTAGCTCTTTATACTTACGCTATAGTAATATTATTAATTAAGATATAAGCGTATATAGAGAGTCTAATCGAAAGAAAATCGATATAATATAAAAAAAATTATATTTATAAATATAGAGACGAATAGTAATAATTTTCGAATTTATATTTAAGCGAATAGAATATATTAATATATATAAAAGAATAAGATAGAATTAAGCTTAAAAATCTTAAATTTATATATATAGCTAATTATAAATTTAGAGTTACTACGCTCTTTAATTAGATCGGCTAAATTATCGCGGGTAAATAAATTAACGTCTATAATTATCAAAATCTCGCTCTCTCACGTCTTTCTTATTAAAAAAATAGATATATATTATTCATAATAGTAATAACTTTTTTATTTTCTATTAAAATTTTGAAATTTTTGTTTTAAATTTTAAAGCGCTATTTGCGCCTTTCGAATTTTTAAGAATTTGAAAAATTTATCTTATAATCATTAGAGCGCAAGGAATTTAAATATCGCTTATTAAAGTTCGCTTACTAAAGATTACTTACCTATTTATTCGATAGCCCTAATTAAAAAAAAATTATGAATTTAATTCATAGGCCTTTACTCGTATAGAATAATATAATATAATTAATCGAGAATTCTCGAATTAAATTAAATTATAGGCGTTAAAAACTCTAATTTAATATTAAGTATTTCTTTATAGAATACTATATAGATAATATTAATAGAGACTATTAATAAGAATAGTAAGATTTATAAATAACGTATAATAACTTCGAAAGACCTTTAGATATATAATAATAAGAGGAGCCTACTTAATAAATCTAATATAAGGTTATTATTAAGTAATATAGATCTAAGAAATTAATTTATAAATATAAAAGAATAAGACTATTCTAATATCGAATAGTTTTAATTTATTTAAAAATATAATATTCGAAATATTATTAAGTCGTATATTAATCTTAAGTATATTATTTTTATATTTATAGAAAGTCTTAATAATTAAGCTCGTATACTTTATCGAAATCTATATTAAATTTAAAGTATTAGTATATATAATAGAATAAGATAGAGTTAAGCTTAAAAATCTTAAATTTATATATATAGCTAATTATAAATTCGAGTTCGCTACGCTCTTTAGTTAAATCGACTAAATTAGCTCGATAGCCCTTTTAAGCTTTTTTATTAAAAATTTATATATAAAAGTTTTATACTTTAAAGTACTTAGCTGACGATATATATAATTACTTTATAATTTCTTAAATTATAAAGCTCGCTTTACGCTTTTTAACGCTATAAAAATTATAAAGTTTAATCTACTATTAATAGATTAAATAAATATTTAAATATAATAGTTATAATAGTTATATTAGACGCGTTCGAGATCGAATAATAATTCTTTTATCTATTTATATAACTATTATTCTTTTATTATTCTATTAATTCTATTAATTTTATTAATTCTATTAATTTCACTTAATATAAATATAATCGTTTTTAATATCTCTTATCTAATTAGAGCTCCTTACTAACGCTCTTAAATTATCTCTTAACGAATTTATTACTATTAATAATCGAGGCCGTAAGCGAGTTTAATAGCTATTTATTACTATTTATAAACGCGTTAGAAGATTCTTAAAAAGAGCTTAAATAAATATATTCTTCTCTATATACTTCTTCTAAGTTAGCGATAGATAGATTAAATTAATATTTAAATATTATAATTATATTAAACGCGTTTAATTTGAATATATTTATCTCTTTTACTCGCCTCTTAGAGCTCTTAATAACGCTCTTAAATTACTTCTTAACGAATTTATTACTACTAGTAATCGAGACCGTAAGCAAATTTAATAGCTATTTATTACTACTTATAAACGTATTAAAAAACTCTTAAAAAGAGCTTAAATAAATATATTCTTTTCTATATACTTCTTTTAAACTAGCGATAGATAAATTAAATTAATATTTAAATATTATAATTATATTAAACGCGTTCGAGATCGAATAATAATTCTTTTATCTATTTATATAATTATTCTTCTTCTATTATTCTATTAATTCTATTAATTCTACTAATATAAATATATTTACGCTTAATACTCTTATACTTAATTAAATAAGAGAAGAATCTATAATAGATAAATATAAAGAATACTATAAAGAATATTATAAAGATAATTATTAGTAGTAATAATATAATAAGCCTACTCTTTATAATTTCATATTAATTTATTTAGCTAATATAAGAGAAGTTAATATAGTAAGTAAATATAAAGAATATTATAAAGAATATTACGAAGATAGTTATTAGTAATAATAATATAATAAATCTACTCTTTATAATCTTATATTAATTTACTTAATTAATATAAGAGAAGTTAATATAATAAACGAATATAAAGAATACTATAAAGAAATTAAGCGGTAATAAAGCTACTCTTATTAAGAATACGACTTAGCTCTTTAAAATTCTATATTATATACTCTTTACGATTTTATATTAAATTATTACTTAATAAGCGAAGAATATTATTATAATTTAATTTATTATCTTTATTATATTAAAAAATAAGAGAAGAAACTATAATAAATAAATACGAAGAATATTACGAAGAAACTAAGTGATAATAAAATCTTTAATACTAAAAATACGACTTAACTCTTTAAGATCTTATTTTATATACTCTTTATAATTTTATATTAAATTATTATTTAATAAGCGTAGAATACTACTATAACTTAGTCTATTATCTCTACTATATTAAAAAGTAAAAGAAAAAATTATAATAAATAAATATAGAGAATACTGCGAAGAATATTATAAAGAATATTACGGAGAAACTAAGCGATAATAAGATTTCTAGTATTAAGAATACGATTTAGCTCTTTAAAATTCTATATTATATACTCTTTACGATTTTATATTAAATTATTATCTAGTAAGCGAAGAATATTATTATAATTTAGTCTATTATTCTTATTATATTAATATAATATATTATTATAATAATATTATAAGAGAAAAATCTATTATTATAATTAATTAAGTCTCTATAGAAGAAATATCGAATAATATATATTTAGATAAATTAAAATCGTTCGATATCTATAGCTATTTTATTATTCGAAAGATTTTACTACGATAGAAGATATTATAGAATTTACATTACTAATTAATACGTTATCTTTATTTCTTTTTAATATTTTAATACTTCTTACTATAAGAATATAATCTTTCTCTATTTTTTATAGATAATTATTATAAATTAATTCTTTATACTTAATATATCTTTCTAATTAGACCTTAACGCGCTTTTCTTTATATATATATATCTATATATTATATAGATTAAATTAATTTTATAATAGTAAAAGTAGATTAAAAACGCGGGCTAGAGCTAAAATTCGATTTAACTTAAAAAAATCCAACTTTATAAATTTAATTCATAGGCCTTTACTTATTTATTATACTTTTATATATAAATCTAATTTTCATCTATAAGATTCTCTATCTTAATAAGACTTAAACTCTATATATTAAAAGTAAGGCGAGTTATAATTAAATATTTACTTTTCTTTATATTAATCTCGATCTTTACTTTTATATATTACTTTATAAATCTTTTAATCTTCTTTTTAATAAATTTCTTAATAGATTATTAATATTTAAGCTATATTTTTATAATATATTTCTTTAATTTAGATATAATTTAATTTCTTATTAATAGATAAATTAAGTTATAAAAACGAAGTTTTAATTTCTTTAATATATCGTTTATTAAACTTTTATTTCTAAGAAGACTAAGACTATTATTCTTAAAATTATATTTAATATATTTAATAAGATTATCGTAGAATTTAAGAAATAATTAACTTTCTTAGTTTATTTTATTATAAGTATATTAATAAATTCTCTTAAGAATAAATAAGAATATCTTATATATATTATTTAAATAATTTAGAAGATTATTAACTATAAAATATAAGCGATATCGTTATCTAATAGATATATATTAATTAATTTTCTCTTTAAGTCTTATTATAATATAAATAATTTTAAAAATATTAATAAGAAAATAATTATTATTATAAATAAGCTTATTTTAAATTCTTATTTTCTAATTATTAAATAATATTAAATTAATATTTATAAAGATAAGTAAATCTAGTAATTTTAGATTAAGTAGTTATTTAA